TCGGATACCGAGGCGACAGCATTGCGAAAACAGATGAAGTAGATGTACTGAGATTTCTCATAAAATGCCATTCATTTTTAGGGAGAAGCGAGGTGTTCGAAAAGTGTTTTCGACCAAAATTCGCGGCCGGCGAATGGATCGAGCAAGAGGATCGACATTTTTGTGCTGTGTTTGTGGTTCGGCGATACATCGATCCCGCACCGTCAAAGGGTTGCCGGGTCCCTGCGTCTAGAGGGAGTTGAAATTTTTACACTCGGGAAGCTTGAAAATCAAGAATGTCTTAACAACCTTCGCGTTTGAATTTTCGCAAGCGAGTACGTTTCGACGCAGGAATTCATATTTAACTGATAAAGTTCGACTCCTACTCCCCCTGGCTTCAAGCACTGGTTGCGCAGCGTTTTGGAAAAACTTCGTTTGGAATAGGTAGATTAAAGTTTAGTGTTTTGCATTTAGGATATATTTTAAGGTTTGTCGCATATAATAGAAGGGGTAAAAAATTTCACCCTTACAGAAAAAGGTAGCTGTCGCAAGGGGTGGTGAAATGCATTTTTGATATTTTAGCTTAGTCGAGTCACAATTTTATAAATTTGAAACGTCCTAAATATGTCGATTTTTTCGAACCGCGTGAATTTGGTTCTGGTGGTGGAAGAGAGTGACCCCCAGTGTCTGTTGTGTTACACAGAAAAGCAACCTAAATGAACTTGTCCAAAGTTCCGTCTTGAACATTGATTTGTACGCGATACGATTTCGCCATGTAACACAACAGATACCGCACATCTTCACAGCACACGGCATGTTTTCTAAATCACGAATTTCTCCATTTTTACCACCCGCACGTTAGTAAGCACTGGGGATCCCCCCCCCCCATGTCCGTCGGTCTCGCTGTCGGGCCGCCTGTACTCTCATTTCCGCCAAAACGGCTTGACCAATTGAAACCAAATTAGGTGCACATGTTCTTAGACATAAAAGAAAGAGCTGAAAGTAAAAGAGATATTGTAGTGACCCTCTTCTGTCGAACACACTGTATATACGTATTACGTATACATTACTCCTTTTTTTTACTTACAAATATAAATAAAATTATTCTAGTAGCCTTATGAATATTTTAAATCTAATATCAGGAGACCGGCCACTTAAATATTAGAAAAATCAACATCAAAGATAAAAATAGAAATGGTGGTTTGCTCGTAACTTTTAAAATACACCGGAAAAAAAGCGTTCTGAAAAATGTTGTATTATTTAAAAATTCAACCAAAACCTGGATCAACATCGTCACCTGCAAAAGGGCCGTCGTATATGGAATACCATTTTTTCATTTATCTAAAAAGAAAAACAACATCGCCATTTTAAACTTGTTTAATATTTAAAACTATTAAGAAATTTTATGATTGGTAAATTTTTAAAGAACTTAACCTATAGACAGTTAATGCCGTTTTGTCTTGCATGTATTTTTACCATTTGTAAATCATCAAAAAGCTGGATTTCTTTAAAAGTTAATTCATTCAGAATTAATCGAAGCACGTTTCCCATTTAGTAGGTCCGTCACAATTAAAGTGCATATTATTATGTATATAAAAATATGTCATACTTGGATATTAGAATAGCTTTAGACAAAAGATGGTTTTCTAGATTTAAATTTATAGGAAAAATCTTAAATGGCAAAACTTGTCCATTGTGAATTGTAATTCTTGCACCATTTGATTTAGTATTAGTATAATATTCAAAACGTTCTGATAATTTTGAGTTTGAATTTTCGAGCACACCCATACAAAAATCAAGTTACTGTTATTGAAGTTAAATTTTAGGAAACCAAAAATCCTCAATACAATCATAGTAAAATTTCATATAAAGCTAGCCGTTGGTCAAGTAATCATTTTCGAGGCATTCAAAATTTTGGAGTTTGGAGTTTGAAGAAACTTGAAAAATGGGAATATCACAGAAAATGACGGAACGTAGGTGTGAAACACTTAGAGAAATTGGAGAAAAATAAGTTCTAAATAACCTGAAATACTAGGTAAAGTTCCGGATGACAGGAAAGTATAGGAATAATCTTCTCAATACAAATATAGACATATACATATAGTGAAATGTAAAAATATAAAGATCATTGTCATTGAAACAAAGTAATTCAGGAACCGCTTCCTACAAATGATTGGAATTTTTAACAAAGTCATTTAATATTGAAAGTAAACTGTGATATCACATAATTTTAACACTCTGATAAATTAATTTTCGACTTTTAAAAATTGATTAAACTGAAACGACCAAAATCAATATGTACGGAAGTGTAACTGTTTGTTGTTTCTCAACAGGTGAAATATTTTTTATTTCAAAGCTCGCGTTGTTATTTATTTTACAGAAGCTGCTTCAAAAGGATTCATAACTCTGTTAACGCCACGTTAACTTTACAAACGTTCAAATCGTTTCTTGTATGCGCAATTGCATTTGAAATGTATGTGCCTCTAAGCCTATGCGTTTCATCAAACTTGACGTTTTGCTTGTTGAGGCGTATCAAAAATTTACTTTGAGTCCGTTTCCTTATCTATATTTAAATTGGGGTTGAACGAATGCTTGCACGTCATCCATAACTCATTTGCACAGCTCGAGATCAAAACCGCGCTTGCACTAGCATTGCTTGCATGCAATGCAGAAGGGCGGTAACTAAATATTTATTCCTAACTTAACCATTAATACGGATTTAAGATTGTAAATATCCTTCTGATCGTCCACGTTCCCATTCGTAATTCAGGATACTTCCGCTGTTTGTATTTACCTTCGCGGGGCGAGCAAAGCGCCATTGCAGATATATCGCATACGCTACCCGTGTAAATTATGGCAGAGTAGCACCGTGACCACATAATGGCAAACTCGTGAAGTAACGTAGTTAAATAAACCGCGGTTAAAACTACAGTAACGGATCTCATTAATCACTTCAAAAGTCAAACTAATTTAGATAACGGTAGTAAATGTTCCCCATAAAGAAAGTGATTTTTTGTTGTACTCTCATTATTTAATGAGGGCGTAAAAACCGCGCTCTAAGTCGCCAGACGGTAGACGATCCCAAAATAGCTTAATCCCACCAATTTGATTGACGGTTCCGAAAAAAAATTAAGCTCTTAAAAGTGATTCCCTCATTTTAAAGTAGTGCGGCCTAGACATAGATATAACGTTACTAATACAAAAGAAACCTTTTACGCTTAATCTGTGACATCCTGCCATGTTTTCATAAGCACTTAGTGTTTTTATAGCGACAGCTATCTTGCACGTTTAAGTTCCTCCTTGTGCGCTATATCAAGAAGTATACCACGGAAATAATTTATGAATTTTCTATGTAAACGCTACAGCGTCTCTCCTTCATCTACCATAATGGATTTTTTTTCTAGAACAGTCAGCAGATGAATATATGCGTAGACTAACTCGCGATTCTCCATTTCCCATCCTTACTACTTATCGCTTTGGAAAATTTATGCCGGAAGTAGCGAGTGAACGTAGACAGTAAAGGTATACCTGACCTCGCCAGTCCGAATCGTTTGCATATATTACCAGAATTGATCGACGAGAATACGATAAATTGAATGTAGACCGCTAGTTTTTCACTGTCTAAGTGTATCGCCCCCATGAGTTCGATCAAACCCCGAAGTGCATTTTCAAATCAAGTTCGATCCCTCAGGTCGGCCACTTAACCGAAACACTTGAGTAGAATTAAAGTTTTATAGTGTAGTTAGTGTCGGTTAAAATGTTAGAATAAATTTCTTCGTGTACTCTTTTTTTATGTTATTACAAAGTGGCACTTTAAAAATCCGACCGAGAAAGTATGCCTTTTATATGAAAAAAAGTTAGATTTTAATTTTTGCTCGCCCTAAAGCAGTAAAGTTTTGTCCAGATTTGTGAATTCGTATACTTTCTATTCTTTACGCGTAAGAGTTATATTCCTAGAGGATGAAAAATTCCCTTCGTCATGACCCAGGGGTATTCAAAGAAGATTGGTCGGGAATAGTAAGTTCAGAGGTAAGGGATAAAGATCCTTTGGGTTTATACTAAATTATAAAGATGGCTACTTACCTCGTCCGTCAAAACATGAAATAATCGAAACTTTTACTGACCTCTTTACTCTTTCATAAGCAACCCTTTTAAGTAACGCTGTAGAACGAAGTAATGAAATCAGTTTCTCAGATTCGTAAACGTTACTTACCTCTTCTATAACATCCCGAATTTTCACCCATTTATTGCAAACACCGTAACTCAAATAAATAACAATACAACATATTTGGCGTCAAGAGTCCCTGGCAACCAGTGGATTCCATACACGGGACATAAGGATATTGATGGTAACATAAAAATATGTCCATATTTTCTGTATGCTGTAATTTAACTTAAAAATAAGTAGGTATCTAAAATGTACTATTATATAATTCTCCAAGAACTGATCGATCTTTACATAAACTTTTACGTCCGGAAAATTGAAAATTTCCAAAAGAAAAGTTATGAATTTTATCGTTCTATCCCCGGACATTCATCGAAATATATTCAATAATTAAACTTGTAATTTCCTCAAATATCCAGATAGCCTTGCGAATTACGACTTTTCAACTTCATTGCAGTTCAAGAAATGTGATTATTCATTTCAGAATCACGTTCCCTTTATAATACAGTCCGAATTTTCATTCTAGTTGAATAGGCACAAAAATATCGAATCATTTGAAGTTTACTATTGGTAGGTGCATTTTACACTTTGTATAGATATTATTTACTTACGTATAATTAACCGGTGTCAAGTTCGCAACTATACTCTGTACAGTACCAAATAAATACGCATGGTTGTATTACAAGGATATAGTTCTGGTTGTGTGAAGGAAAAATTATAGTGTCGCAAATATATTGTAGCGAACACTCCAGAAATTTCGACAGACATCGAGGCGGCGTGAAAGAGTCATCAGCGATAAAGAACGAAGGCGGATGTGACGTAATCTTTCTCGGAAATAGGACATGTTTTGTTCTAGAACATTTGAACAGACTCGCGAACACTCGAGAACACTCGGGTTTACCATACAAGCAAATCGAATCGCGTTTCAGTTTAGTTCCAACTCCGAGCAACCCCTGAAATTAATGCAAGAAATGAAAGTCGGTCAAGCTGAAATAAACGTCGTGGCAACCAAAGTAGAAGCCGCGGAAAGTAAAATCGAAGCGGGTCAAGAAGAAGAAAGACGTATGATACAAGATGAGATACAGAGTGTCCAAGAGAAGATTCGTATGGTAGAAAATGAAATGAAAGCCAAATACGATGAACTACGATGAGAATTTATGTCATTGACTGAAGAACACGAAGAAAGTGATGTGTCGTCTGTGATAACACTTGCTGTTCCACAATGGTCCCGAAAAGAAACTTCCGAACCGTGTAAAAGTATTGGTACAACAAAGATTCGAGTTAAGCCACCCACTGTAGATGGAAAATCACCGTATTTGCGCCTAGCAAATTTAAACTTTGACGTGGAAACTAAAATTAGGAAATCACGTCGTACTACTTTTTCGGAATTGACTCAAGTAGCTACCTCTAGTCCCCTTGCTAATAATGGGGAAGCTTCTGGCGAAGCTGTACCGATGGATGAAGAATAACCTCTATTATCTTCTGAAAATGATTTGCCAGATTGCGCCAATTACTCCCACTATGGGAACTCTTCAGCGTACCTCGACTCTAAATAAAAATTACCAAATTTCTAAGTTAGGTTTAACATTTTCTGGGGATGGGTCCACGGCATTGTTATATTTTTCTAATAGGGTGGAGGAGTTAAGTGCGTCTGGTGAGATTCCTCACAGAAAATCATTTACTGCGACTCCTGAATTATTTATTGGAAGGGCATTTATAGATCACGCAGGGATTTTCTTACGTATTATTTGTACTAGCTGTGTTAAATAGCGAGTTTTTCCCTATTGACTATAAAATAATGAACGTTTGTTTGGAAGACATTAAAGCGCGGAAAGCGAACGTTTGTTTTTACGGTTAGCGGAACCGATGAATAAAAGTAAATAATTGTACTATGTTAGAACTGTTAGAAGAAATCTCACTCCATTTTATCCAATATCACAGTGATATATTGCTTTAGTTGTGGTCGGCCTGCAGTAATTAAACCAAAGTGCCCAACATGCAACTTGAACCAGGGAAACTAAGGGGTCGGGTCTTCTATCAGAGATGACTCATTAATTTTTTTAATCTCGTGGTTTGCCTGATAAACAACGAATTGTTCTGGACTTTATTTTCGCTAGTATTGGGGATGAAAGCCTTAATGTTACTATTTATGGTTATTATTTTGGCTATTATTTTAATGGTTTACTAGATTCGTGAGCTTCTCGAAACGTGTTGAGATTAATGGCGCAAAAAATTATTCTGGACATACGTTTAAATACTGCAACGCCAACTTGGCAAATAGCCGAAGCAGAATACAGTAACCAAATAATAATGCAGTCACCTATGGCGCTACCACCCTACCTGCAATTCCTCCTCTCACTGTCAACTCGACTCAAATAAGTATAGGCAGCGCACCCTTGCTCTAGCTCAGGGAGACGGGTGGGGTTCCACGTTGGCCGGAACCAAATCCTAAAAGTGATACAAAAAAGTTGTGGGCGCCACCGACTCGGATTCCCAACCGCTGCTCTAGTACCGGGAGTCGGTCCGTAGATGGTAATTTAAAGAAAGAATCGAGCGACAGCTCACGTACCCAGGGTACTCACACACTCTCGCAATCAAAACACAAATACATACAACTTGACTAGCCCTCTTTAATAACTATTTAACAAATCTCAACAAAAAAAAATTGTAAGTAATAACAAGAGTAAATAATAGAATCATAGAATCTGCAACTCGTACCACACAAACCAATTAAACGGTCGCCGAATCAAGTACCCAAAAATCTCCCTCCCCCCTTTTAAAATGACAACAAGCAATAAATAATCCAAAATTTAAAGGACAACAATCAACCCCCCTATGACTTCGACGTCGAACACCCGAGTAGCAGGGAATAATATCGGATTTCCGATTTAACTGCTACCATAAAACGTACCAAGCAAATGTACGCAATACGAACTATTACACCGATCAGTTACACATAAATATTTAAGATACCTGGTGATGCATCACAAAGAATCAATTTGGGGCCGCCTGATTTGCTGCCACCCAACACACAAAATTCAATAAATAAATATATATCTATATCAGACTTACCACAGTGCGAAATCACAGAAGGTTACCCATATTAAAAATCTACCATGCATAAATAACATATATAAAACCCCTTAAGTGTTATGACAATTACCAGCAGCTATCACTGGTCCCCACCCTAATAAAGGAAACAAATAATTTCCAACAAGAAAAATATGTGACACACAAATAAATGTACTTGATTATGCCAGTGACGCTATTCAATAGGTATGTTAATTAAGTGAACTCAAAATCGTTACATTTAACCGGCTATGCCAGGTTCCAATATTAATTACACAACCAACAATCTCCCAGTATCTTACTTGAGATACGAAGGACTTCAACTAATTACTAACAAGTCGGGTTAAGCCAACAGCTAAATAGAATCTATCAGATTCTCTGCTAGTAATAATTTACGTGAAATTCCAAACCTCGCATCAAAAGTAACGTTTTCCAGAGGTGTCACCAGCATGTACACGAAACAACCAACAATCCACTTATCTGTGCGGGTCCTCGCCTATCGGTAAACTCGAAGGGATCGCAATGGGACGGTAACGGTGAACAGCAAAATCGGCAACGATGTCTCGGAGCTGTCTCCGACCAGAACGATCAAGTTCTCGGACAGGTGTCGCGGTCGAACTTGGTACACGACGATTCCACCCAGTTAACGGCTTCCCTCAATTACAGCCATGCATAACATTCCTCCGACGTTACGACAAATAACCCTCCATGCGGTACAGACAATCACAGTTAAACAGGTCTCCCCGGAACTCGAACTCGAACAGTTTTACATATCCTTCGCAGCTCACATCCAATACCCAAATCTCCAGTCTGATTACACGAGACCCACGACTGTTCCCACGCCGATAAGTGACAAAACAAATACTAGATTCACGTGGTAATGTAGATCCGTCACCAAATCCGCTGCAAATATACCCCGTATGAAATAACGAAATGACCACAAAAGAGTAAGGAATGACTCTTACCTTCGACCTGAAGCGGATGATCAAAATAAATGCCGATAAACGCCTTGTTGCATAAAACCCGGCCAAGCCGCGTGCTAGACCAAAGCACCAATTAAGTGGATATCAATTAAATCCCGCTAAACGGCATCGAGACAACTCCCCAAATATCCAATTCCAATATCCAAACGGATGCCTCAATGAACACAATTAATTCCAACTTTTAAATGCGCAACATTACTTTTCGGCGTGCTAACACAAAATGCACTCAGATCGCCATTTCCTTGTCCCACCACCGGCTTTTTAATCGTAAACAAACCCCATGGTAACGGAATAGGGACTCCAAGCGGTAAAAAGAGAAATTACCTCACGGTGGCCAAATCTATACACGACACAATCCATACTGCCTAAAGATATAACTGGCCGTTACAATACCACTGAACCTACTTCTAGCTCATGGGGGATCTTGTAATGCTTTGGAATCTGTTACGTTCCCTATTTCTATTAAACGTAACACTTTTGAAATTGATATATTAGTCATGCCCGATGTACATGACGTATCGATATTCGCGATCGCTTTTTGGAAATTGATTGACTTTGTTTCTGATTTTGGAACCGGATAATGGAAATATGATAACTCTACATTCATCTTCAATCAACTGAAATTCAGTCTTTTTAATCATGTTTTAAGTTCGTCTTATTTGGGTTGTATTAATCTTGTGGAACATTACATTTGTACATCGACTGAGTCTATTAGTAGCGATATTACCTTTTTTCTCCTGTACTTCGTCAAGTAGCTAATGGTGAATTAAATTCGATGCTTAAATTAGAGACGCGGAACCGTCTAATATCCCATGGTCGTATCCGACGGTCCTTGTAAAATATAAGGATAACAGCTATAGACTTTGTGTTGACTATCGCAAGGTTAATGCAGTGACAGGAAAGACGCATACCTGTTGCCTTACATTAGTGCAATTTTAGACCGCTTAAAGTCTAACTGTTGCACGGAATGGATTAGGAGGACTCCACAATTTCCACTGCAAGCAGCAGATTTGCCAAGACCGTTCAATCGTAAAATAAAAATTCTAAGTAGAAAAGTTTTATACCTTGATCAGGCGCTTAGATTGCTTAATTTAATAAAAGAAAATGAAAGCAAATTTGAACATCTATATCCCCATAGATAAATTTTTATGAGATGTACCCCAAAGTGAAAGTTCGATTAGGTCGAATTTGGTTTTTGAAGTTGGGCAATCCGCGACGCTTTTCCAATGAAAACTTGCATGTAAAGGCTGATCGGCTAACTTTATTTTAAACTGTGTGCATAAACTTCCTTTTAAATTCAACACCGAAAAGAAATTTACGACCGGAGTCACCGATACGTTTACTTCAAATATTTGTATTTCAAAGGCTTTTCAGTTTTCAGTATCGAGAATGGTCGCTCTAAATTAAATAAACGATTTTCTCTTGTAGCGGTTCAGTGAGAAGTTCGAATTGCTTCGGGCTTCGCAATTTTTCAAATACAGAATGTGGGAAAACGCAATTCAGAAAATTCAATTTGTCAGAACTCGAATAGCCGATTTGCTGCTTTTAATATAAAGCAGAAGAAACATTAGCTGCAGATGTTTTTTGTGCTTCATTGCAACTTGCTTTTAAATTACTAAATTTATCGTATGTTTCAAGGCTTCAGGAACCGTAGATTTTGTATATGCGGCGCCATTTGCAGCTTGCTTGAAATTCAGCTGATTTAATTTTCTTCGAAATTTCTCTGTTTACAAACCCCATCATACCAATCCGATTGGAAATATTCTCTACGTTGGCTATTCCAACCGAAAGCGTAGGTGGCTTCTCTGCATCTATTATCTCTATTTTACATTATTTACACGTTTTAGGATAATGCTTTGAATTTTATTTATTTAGTACTTACGCGTGTTCTGTATTGTACCTCTTTCTCCCTGAGTGCTAACTTAAATTTAGTTACAAATTCCATAAGTGGATCCCATGTATCGTCGTAAAGTCTATTATACTGTGCTGTGCCCAAAATAAGGATCTCCGAAACCATAGAAGATACGGATACGGTCGCCAAATTAGAGAAAAGGTGCACGATTAAACTATCATTCTTTGAAGAAAACGAGAAAGTTCCG